GTAATATATGTAAATATAACAGCTTAGATCTTAGATATGTAAATATGTAGGAACCGTGTAATATGTTTGGAAATTCCCTTTTCTCTTAAATTCTTGTTTAATCATCTGGTCCATTGGACGAATAAATATTAAGTCTGGACTCCAGACGTAGAGATATGTCCGGAGTCCAATAAAATCATGCCACGTGGAGGTGACAGAAAAATAAAAATAATTTTGTTTTAGCACAAGAGAATATTCCCCCCGTGTTATTCATCTTTATTTAGGTGTTATTGTGGTGGTATTCATGTATTATTGTGTTCTGAGAATATTTCAGGTGTTATAATAACTCAATATCACCACAATAACACATGAATAACACGGAATAACACCGAATAAATATTTTCCTGTGTTACTGGGTCGGATCACAAGAAAACACGTTTTTTTTTCTTGTCAGCTCCACGTGAAACTGATTCATTGGACTCCGGACGTAATAATTTTGCTCATTGGACAACCTTGATGTCACAAATTTATTTGATTATAATTTTCTTGTTTTTCTTAATTTTTTCTTATGATTGGAAATTTTTTATAACTAGATTTATGGGTTATCACGTTGTGCTAAAGCAATTTTTTTATTTTTTTTACAGCAAATAATTAAAATGTTCATAATACTTTTGAATTTTTTTATATTGACAATTCCCTCGTTCTAATAAGGAAAGTTATATAAATGCCACTCAATTTTCATGTATTTACATATCCAACACATATTCTATACATATGTCATTATATCTATGCAAGCAAATGTATAACTCACTTTCTAAAAGCCTTTTCAGTAATCTTTTTTTGTTGTGATATAAGAAAATTTGGGTGGTATAAGTGTAAATATTCAAGAATTGAGTGGTATATATGTGAATGTCCCTATCAATTGTATTTGCCTTAATACGTCCAAAAAACAATCTGTTTGTTGAAATTGAAAACGGAAATTTCAAAGAAAATACATGCTTTAATGCAAAGCTCATATTTACGCGCTAAAAGCCACTAAATATGTTAAATTATTTCTTAAATATTTAATTGGTCAGGAGCTGGTTATTGGGAATCAAATCAGGGAAGGAAGAATAGATTTGGGAGCACTGTTTAGGGCCCATTATTTCTTCTTGCTTTCAATTTTAACAATTTTTAACTCTATTTGTTTATTGTTTGATTGTTCTATTGGAAAAATTTTTGTATCCGCTCCGCAAGTAGGCTCCACATCTCTTAAAAATCACCCATAACCAGTGTTATATTGTGGGGCTCGCATGTCACGAGATTAATTTTCATTGGACTCTGGACACAAATTTGAGTACGAAGTCCCGATGCAACATTCTCTTCTTTTGGGGATAATAATAGATTTTCATTTTAATGTTTTATCAAGATTAAATTTAATTTCAAACTAGGTTAGGTTTGAATGCTAATTATTTAGTCTTATATATATATATATATA